TTGAACTCAGAAGTCAACTGCCGGTTTATAGACTTTTTTGATGCATGATTATACATTGCCTAGTGTGCACCACGTGGAGGCAAGTCTATCGCACACACCCCCCGTCCACATTATGGCACTTTAAATACGCCTAATACATTCCCAATAAGCCTGTGTAAATCACCTGACTCATTGCTGAAAAATACCAAGAATACCTACACTTCCCTGTGTGCACATCACGCTGCTTCTTGTGTTATCAGATCAGTAAATTTTAATAGCGGAGAAATTGTCTCCGGTTGCATTCTTGCCTTCATAGATAAAGCAATTACATAAAATTCCTGACGTTAATTGGTACTACCGATGTGACCCTATCATTATTTACCAAAGAATGAACACGAGTGATTAATATGCTTGTCTGAGAATAGGAAGCGGTATCTATTAGTCCACATCCAACGATACTTCTTTTTTTCTGTCTTGTAAACTGTGAATCTTTCGTTGTAGTTGTCTCTGGTATTCCACCCCCCCCCCCCCCCCCCCCTACTCAAATCAAATGCTGTGAACATTTCCTAGGTTTGTTAGGGGAAATTTACCTGATATAACTTCCATAAAAGTGCCCTTCGCATTTTCCCTATTGGACATAAGACGTGTAATCATCGCTCAACTGAGTCAGATTTGCTCAGAATTGGCATTCACAAGATGATTTACAAGAGACAAAGCTGAGGGACTTCAAGAAAGAAATTTAGACGAGCAATCCCTCTCCTTCGCATAAAACTCAATTTCACTTTCCAACCCTACCATCCATTCATTCCAGCACTCTCCCCTGATTTGGAAAAGTTGTTAATCTTCTGCCAGTGGAAACCAAGTATGACTATGGAAGCAACTTCGATTAACATCTTTTATAACAAAACCCTTTTTAGGAAAATGACTGCAAACAGAAAAAACTCTGAAACTCTATTCGATGTACTTAAATATTACAAGTAGTATAAAAACAAAGCAATAAAAATATTTCAATGTTGAATAATCGCTTCATCCCATGGACCATTAATATTCCTACAAGGTAAAATAGTCAATTTATATATAAAACACAATCGGTCAATGAGCTTACGCTTTAGTAGACTGCATCTTGTAAAAGAGAAAAGGGAATCCAAAATTGATAAGAATAGTAGACAAAAGGATCGAGCCAGCGAGTAGTCTTTTGTAAATATAATCAATTTCGCCATAATAGAAGAATGGAAGAAGACCCAGTGTTGCAATCAAACCCATTCCAATAGTAAAAGAGAGTCGAACCACCGGACCTCTTCGAGCCTAAATGAAGGGACTGATTATCAAAGAGTCTGAATAGCAAGAAATAACACTAAGCTTAATGTGGAAACTGATTCCAATACCTGAATTTGATGTCTAATAGTTGACCAAGTAGCGAAATTCAAGGTGGCGAATATGATTAAAAGAAGGGTCTCTTTTGGTCCCGCTAATCGACTAGACATGCAGAGGGACGCCAAGAATCCGGTTGCCACGGAAACAGTATTTGAATCTGATGTGCCGTCAACGCGACAGACACGCATTCCGTTAGCATAGGGCAGAGAAATAAAGTTGAGAAGGAGAAATACGAAAGTCATTGCATGAATGGTGTCGGTAGAAACGGTGCCCAACAGAGAATGCAAAACAGGCGCTAAAGATGAACTGAATACCAAAATTATAAAGCCTGATCTCAGAGGGTTCAATGCTAAAACGAAGACAAAAAAGGACGACAATATTAAAAAATGATAGTTAAAACAGAAGGAAAGAACGGACTTACTTGCAGTGAAAGACTGCTCATCAGGCTTTAAGACAGCGAAAAACCATAAAGCAGCACCAAAACATGTTGCTGTTAAAAGGGCTATTTGTATTTGGAATGGGGTAATCCATTTCCACAGAAGAAAAATGTATGACGTTACAAAGAGACAAATACTGCCTAATTAAGAACGTAAGATCAACGGTCATAATTACATAGGTGTTGAAAAATCAATCCCGAATAAATTATAAGAGTAGAAATATCAAACGTTCGTAGATTTACTAAAGAAAACATTAGTAATGCACAAAAAAACCATTTTTCTGGAGACGAGTTAAAAAGTCAGGAGGAACCCAATTATCAGGCGCAATTCTTTTTTCATAAAGCATTAATATCTAAAATGAAACAGTATATATACAAGTATGCTATAGGCAAGTACATAAATTACAATGCATATACACTAAAATAGTCATTAGTTTTGCTTCCTGTTAATAAAATCATGATTTTTAGATCGGGTTAATATTTGAAATAATAAATATAATAGTATATAAGATTTTGCTTAGTGCGAGTCAAAGGTAAAACCTACATTATACACTCTTTGTGAATCACTGGGTCAGAAAATAAATAGCTAAAAATGCGACGGTTTACTGAGCCTGCGTTTGTTTCCAAGGCCCAGAATATTTACAAAATATATAATATTTAAATAGTTGATTGAACATAATAGATTTCTCATTTATAAGCGTTAAATATATTTGACAAGACTGCCTGAGGTATTATAAAAGCTCTTGCGGCTTCTGATTATATTTTGCAAACAACGGGAGATATAAAAATTGACTTTTATATCTACTACTTGAAGTTTGATTAAAGCTTAAGTGATCACATGTGAAAGTTATAACAACAGGCTATTCAGCAAAGCAATTGATGCCAAGGTTTTATAAACTTCAACTGTATAGAGAGAATATTTATTATTTTAGTATTACCCAAATATACTTAAACTGAAGAAAAATTGGATGAACCTATGTATTACAGTTTATAACGAGTCTAAAAGTAGATTAATACGACAGAGATTGTAGTCGAAATTTATTTTGAGGACAAAAGGGTGATAATGTGTTAACAGTGTATAACGTACTATTAAAAGGGATGTTCAGGTGCTCCAGAACTAGTTAAAATAAGAGATTGAATAGTTACATAATTTATAAATAATTATTAGTTGATAATAGAGAATTTAAACTTCTGTGAGTAAATAATCATCTAATGTCGAGTGACTCCCACTCTAAGTGTTTACTTCTTCTATGAGAAAAACGAGAATTGACTTTTGTGTGGAAGTTAACCTATGGTAAAAGTTTATCTCGTTGAAAATCAAATTATTGTTTGCTTGGCACGCTTCTAAACTTGTTCGTAGCAAAATTTGCTACTCTCTTAGAATGTGTAGAGTCTTGCATTACAGCTTCGAAATCTACAAATGCTTGCTAATACGACTAGCGGTTTAACATGAGTTAAGTTTATTTTTGTTTGATGGGGGTGATTAAACTTCTTAGCCCATGTTAGAGCAAGCTAATAACGCATTGGGTTGAGGGACAATTTAATTCGTGTCAATGTGTGAAGTGATCAAGATAATTTCCTTAATTGTGTTATAGTATTTTATAACTATTTAAGTATTCATTAATTCTTTTTTATTTACATACAGTTCATGAACCAATTTAATGAAATTAAATAAGTGTTTTAAAGAATTTTAGAGAGAAATAGAGCATTTTTGACACGTCGAGAATAACAAAGTGGAGGTAAACAGACTTAATTGCAAAACGAGTTAAAAAGAATGTCCTTTTTTGTTAAATGATTTAAAGAAGGACATATTTATTGGTTGATCACTTTTATTCAAACATGGAACTTTCAAACAAGACTGAAGGTAACAGAATATCCACATGAAAAGGCAATTATTGTTTACTTGGCACGCTTCTAAAATCTTTCGTAACAACATTTGTGCTCTCTTAGAATGAGAAGAGTTTTAATTTACAGCTTCGAAATCTACAAGTGTTTGCAATTACCCCAATTTATTAACCTAGTGTTAAAAACCATGTACAATTAGCAGTTTAACAAGAGTTAAATTGATTTTTTCGATATGTAGTGGTGGCGACCTAGTGTAAAAATTTTATGTCATTCTTTGTAATAGATCTCTAGTCTTTTACTTGAACACTTTAGCCTCGTCATATACGGCTCATCCAGTCTACAAAACCGGTTTCACCTTGTGATGTGAATGAGTCCTTCATTGACATTAACAACATTAACTTCATTTTCTGAATGTATATCGCGTGGTTGCTCAAGTGATAGTTAAACATATTTTTGGGCCTAAAGAGAGCTTGCCATGTGATTCGATAATTGCATATTTCTCTTTCACTAAAAGAGAACTTTGGTAGGCAAGTTTTCAGTATTGCAGATTCAGGCAAGATATGATGATTCTGAACGATGAGGCATCATCTCAGCTCAGACATTAAAACTTTCGTGCTCTATGGAAAATGAGGTCATGTTAAAACAGAAAGCGTAGGTGAAATCAAGAGGACGGTAATTATTTCCCAACTATAATATTCCAGACACAGTGTTCTACTGAGTCAGGTGTAAATTGGTAAGAACTCCAATGACCTTTCATTACACTTCTACCTTTTCACACGGATAACTTTTTCACAACTTTATTGTGTTAAGTAATTAAGTATATTGAAGTTATAATGTGATAATGTGGTAAATGAAAGAGATACATTTGGAAAAAGTAAGTCGTATAACGTTTATGCTGATCTCCTAGGAATTCTGACATGGTATATTGCAAATGAACATTTCATCACTAAGGCAACTGGTTATTACACATTTTAAATCATATATCAACGAGTTCTTAAAAAGTTAATAAACAAACAGTCGAGGATGCAAGTAATATGTGTGTAAATATGGAGTAGATTATTAGGAGAATGTATCCCTGATGGTGTACCTCGCTACCTTGCCTTGTGTTTCACTGGTCAATAAACACATCTGTCAAGTCAGATGTTTGAGCATTGTTGCCCATTTCTAGATAAACTGGTTTAAGAATGACCGATTGTAAATTCACATTCTAACCAGGGTTTAGAGTAACAAAATGTTTATTTATTTATATCAAATAGCTGGCTCTTTGATGGTTATCATTAGCCCTTTAGCTGACTTCAGACTTTACTGAGGGGAAGGAGCATCAAATTTGCAAAAGCTGAGAGGTGTGGGGAGCAGAAGATTGATTCCCAGATGTAAAAGAGACAGAGAAAAAGGTTATGGTGAGTATTGTGGACGTGATGGGCCATAGTAGTTTGAAGTCAACTGCAGGTTTAGTAGCTTTGTTTGCACAGGGACCAGAACGTGGATTTGAATTTATCGTACGTCCCGTGTTAAAATGGGAATTGCAGGGAAAATGATTAAGATGAAAATTTTTTCATTTAATTAATAGTTCTTTTTCCTAATTTACTAATTATCAACATTTTGAAAATGTAATCAATTACAAAGAATAACTATAATTTTCAAAATATACCGTTTCACTCTATTTGGATCTTTTACCATAAACATCAAGTTTTACCGGAAACTCTGTTAATAAGAGAGAGAGAGAAAGAAGTGGATACAAATCCTTTTTTTCATTGTAGCAATTGAAAACCTTCTTAATTTATTTTCAATAAGAATCATCTATACACTCTTGAATATTGCTAGCTTTGACTATAAACTATGAATGCCATAGCCTACTTAAAACTGCAATTGTAAATCACTTACCCAACTTATCTCTCTTCGCATCAACATCGTTTTTGATTTTAATGTTGAAAAAACGCAATGAATTAATTTCAAGAAAGAGTTTTATTGACAGAATTGGTAAATTGTTTATGCTGAAAAGTGTAAGCATCTGATAAAGTTTCTTAACAGTGAAATAAAGCAGAACGACGACCTTTATGCATAATTTTAACACATGCCAACCATTCATGGTATATAAACAAGAGCGCAACGTCTGAGAATAATTAATATTTTCTACGCTCAATCAACTCATGAGTCCATACCACCTCTTCTGTCTTCTTCTGGCACTTTCACTCGCTGCTTCACAAGGAACTTTAGGCACGTATTTTATCTTTCATTTAATACCTTCTAAGCTCATGTTTGAGAGAGATATCGATTTTTTAATAACTCATTAATTTGAGGGACTATTTAACATGTGCTAAAGTGTGGAGAGAACAAGGTGATCTCGTTTGATTGTGTTGAAATATTTTATAACTATTTAAGTGATTATTAATACCCTATTATGCCCATATAATTCCATGATCGATTTAAAGAAAATAAATAAGTATTTTAAAGTGAATTTTAGAGAGACATAGAACATTTTTTGTGCCAAGAAGTGAATAGTAAAGTGGGAAAAGCCGACCCTTTAATGTAAAGACTTAATTGCAAAACGAGTGACAACATATGCCACTTTTTATTAAATGCTTTAACTAAGAATATATTTATTGGTTGGCCACTTTTATTCAATTATGGAAATCGGAAACAGGACTGAAGGCACTTCAACTTGAAGTATAAGATGGCTTGATATTCGAATTAACTTGAATCTCACTTCCACTATTAACTCATCAACTACTTCCTGAAAGACGAGCAAATTTCATCTCATTGAACTATTTGTATAATGATTCACGTTATTACCACAAACAATTAACTATAGACGCACCGACAAAACTAGAAGGTAAGATGATATCTGAGAACCTTGATTATTTGAAACTCACACCCTTAATGTCTTTGAAGGAATAACTTTTCTTTTACTGTTTGCCTAATCCATAAAGAGAAAAGTAGACTTGTTAATCAGGTTGTCATATGCACTGACCACCTATCAAGGGGAGTAAAAGGAATTGCGAGGGCATTTCAAGATGTGATAAAAGAATTCTAGAGAGTGAATTGAGGAGCACAGACCCTGAAATGCAAAGACTAAGTTGCCGAACGGGTAACAACATATTAGCCAATAGTAGTTAAATGCTTAAAGGAAGGATATGTTTATTGCTTGGTCATTTTTATGGAAGTTGGAAACAAGACTGAAGGTACTTCAGTCTTGAAGTGGAAGAAGACTTGATAATCGAATCTGCTTGAATCTCACTTCCACTATTTACACAGCAACTACCTCGTGAATTTGCGAGCAAATTACATATCATTAAACTGTTTGTATGATGATTCACATTACTTTTAACAAAAGCAATAAGATAATTTTTATTCAATTTTATAGACACGCCGGAAAAACATGAAGGTAAGATGATATCTGAGAACCTTGATTATTTGAAACTCACACCTTTAATGTCTTTGAAGGAATAACTTTTCTTTTACTGTTTGCCTAATCCATAAAGAGAAAAGTAGACTTGTTAATCAGGTTGTCATATGCATTGACCACCTATCAAGGTGAGTAAAAGGAATTGTGAGGGCATTTCAGAATGTGGTAATTGAAAGATGCCAATATGCTATCGAAAAAAGCAGGAAATTGAGGAAAGGAGTTACACACTTCCATTCTGATGGCCACTTCACTGCCAATTTACTGCCACTGGTTAAGAGTGCATTTTCTCTTCCACAGTTAATTGACGTATTGTTGGCTTCATTACGAGGGTCATTTTGTTGTTATGTATTTCGTTCTATGGACTTTAGGTGTTCTATTCTATTCTATACTGTTACAGAGCCAGAAGCGACATCAACCCAACGAATCTCGTTTAACGAGGCGAAGTGGAATGCCATGTTCCCGGGTAAATACTTTGATTTTTCAAGTACTGCTATCACTTTAAAAAAATATTAATTCTTCTTTCAAAAATATTTAACTTTTAGATCACGAATTCCAACACCTGAATTTATTCCACGGTGAAGAGAAAGAGGGTAAATTATTTTATTCCAAGTTTCGAAAAAAACTCCCCACTTTGAGATACCATTGAGTTAGTGCCTAAAATAGTACCGAAATTGGATAGAATTCCAAGTGGAATTCAGTTTATTTTCAATTCTCGATTTGTCAATGTTGACTTCTAAGCACAAGTTGGAAATAATTATGACTGAAATGTCACAAGTAGTATATCTAATAGCACAAGATTCAATAGAACAATTGCACTGCGCACTCATTTGAACAAATTTGTTTAAAAATATGACAAGAATGCAAGTTCAATAAATATTACAACAGTAGCATTATTTAACAACCCACACTACCACACTCCCACCTACCTACCCATGTACTCTCTTTGTGCTCATTTTAACAGTTTCCCAATTCGACTGATTTCATAATTGTTGAATATTGTACCATTTCCCAAGATTCTAAACACAACACGGTTAGTTTTGAGTTCATTGCATTGCTAAGGTCTTAATAGGGGGGGGGGGGGTAGAATATAGGAGATTCGGCCTACGTTGATAATGAAAAGAGTGCATAAAGAGTGACAAGGCATTGGAAGATTCTTACAGTTCACGGATATGTAATGACTGTATTTCCCGTATTTGTGTCATAATCAATTTTTAGTGAATTTTTTGAGCAAATTTTATTATATATAATTTTTTCCCTCTAACTAGATCCAACTGTTCCCACAGGAGTTGAATTTAGAGAAAAGAACACCACCGGAATCATTTTAAAATGGGATTCTCCGAAGGAGACGGATGGAACAATAGATGGATATGATGTAATATATACATATGGTCAAGGTCTATTTAAAATGACTACTGATGATGCCAATATGGTGACTGTTCCTTTAATCCCTGGAATAACGGCCATTGAAGCTTGCGTAGCCGCCATTACTAACAAAGCCGTCAAATCAGAAATGTTGAACGTCTCCATACCGGTCTTTCTTGATATTTCTGATGCAAGTAAGTGACTTGATTTTTCATAATCTGGTGTACCTAGAATCTGGAAATTTCTTTTTGAACGGGAAAATAATTGTGCGATTTTTTGGCCAATAGGTACTGCTGTGCATTATGTTCCTGGTGCGGAAGTGTCAAAGGATCCAAAGAATAATGCATTAGTAGATACTTTTGCAGTGTCGAAAGAGGGTAAAACTGATGGAGAGTTTCAGGGTTCTTTCAATTAATTCTGATTTTCCATGACGTTGAATGAAGAAGAATTATTTCGTCAAATAAATCATGCATTTTAGTTAGAATTAGACAATCCCACAGATTTGCATTGCCTCTTACTTGTTCCATTGAATTTACGACTCAAAAACAAACAACACCATTACATAGCTCTCACTTCTATCTATCGCGCTGATTAGGTCTAATTTGACAACATTCGTCGGAAAAAAACACCTATTAATAGTCCAGTTGAAATCATTAACCTGGAAGGATGCATGATAAGACGAGGTGTTACAAATTTGTCGGTCGAAATGCACTGACATGTTGAATTCAGGTTTATGGTAAATGGAAGAAGCTGTTTTCTCTGTCTAATATATCATCTTTCTCCTCGTCATGGTTTGAATTTTAGGAGCGGGTGGACAAGCAAATACCGAAACCCTTCTACTTCTTACGAATGTGATAAATCTTCCCTAGTTGATGAAGCTGGTCACAGTCGAGAAATGTATTTAAAGTGATTTCTTCCAAGTGTCACCTCACCTTGATTTCATTTGAAACAGTGTGATGTCCATACTAATATCCCGTTTGCCCAGTCCATCTTGTTGTCATGAATATGTATCATTAACCTCTTTAAACCGAGGATCCCAGTGTGTTAACAATTTGAATAGAGGAGAAACAACAAGATTCATATTGTGATGGATCATATTAGTACTGAGTCATTCGTTATAGCATACTGAGTATTTTTAAGCACGAATTTCATGATTTGACTGCCATGTACACGGCGTGGTCTCATTGACAGACATCTCAGTTTCGTGGATGACATTTCATCTGAATTTGAATTATTTTCATGCTACAGCCAAGAACATTAAGATAGGTTTTGCTACAGTGTTTTCATATTGTTGATCGAATCTTTTATAAGTCAGAGTTGATTGAGATTTAAACGATTATTATCATTACTAACAGCACCGTCTTTTCCACTTTTAGATGTTCCATCAGCTAAACCCAGTACTCTCGTAATCGCATTGATCGGTGTTGGAATTGAACTTGCACTCCTCAGTGTGATAGGTGTCACTATTTACCTATGTATGGGAAATAAAGGACGCTAAGAGGTCAGTTAAGGTCCCCAGAAGATGGAGACTTGGATATGGGAGAATTCGTGAGTAAAAAGAAAAAAATGGAACTGTTATATTGTGTTTAAGCAACTTTGATTAAATGAATTTGTTTGTGTGAAATATTTAANACGATTATTATCATTACTAACAGCACCGTCTTTTCCACTTTTAGATGTTCCATCAGCTAAACCCAGTACTCTCGTAATCGCATTGATCGGTGCTGGAATTGTCCTTGCACTCCTCAGTGTGATAGGTGTCACTATTTGCCTATGTATGAGAAATAAAGGACGCTACGAGGTCAGTTAAGGTCCCCAGAAGATGGAGACTTGGATATGGGAGAATACGTGAGTAAAAAGAAAAAAATGGAACTGTTATATTGTGTTTAAGCAACTTTGATTAAATGAATTTGTTTGTGTGAAATATTTAATAATACTTCGTTTACTATTGAGTCTACTTTGTAATGATGCCTTCAAACGTTTTTGAATGCCTTATCGCTGATCTCTTGTTTGATTATTCAGGAATAACTAAGGAAATGATATGGTACTTCAAAGATAATCGGCCCCGAGTTCTGTCAACTCCATGCTTACTCTACATTGCATTCAAGTCAAGTCAAGTTATTTAATTGAAGATGTAAACTGGATTTCAGAGTCATCCTCTCACTGCCCAGCGTTACTTATCCTTCACGACTATTTAAGCAGCACTCTCTCCCTCTCTCTCTCCTCTCATCAAGAAAGCTATGTTCTGAGGCAGAACAAATTGACCAAGATATTCCTTCAGAGAATGAATAATTCTCTTAATGTAGGAGTCTGAATTGGGCTGGAGAAATTGGTATTGGTGAAATGGAAATGAATGAGAGGGCAGGGGGGGGGGGGGGGTGGGGTAAGTTGTAGACGGTGGAAGGAGTTCGTACTGAGTGTGGGTGGTAATTAATGGAAGAATTGCAATGAGATAAACAGCCCAATGGAGTGGTACATTAGTTCATTTTTGGGATGGCGGCATGAATAGAGCTCAAGTGGTTTCTCCAAATTCAGGTAAAAGCATTTAAAGATCAGCAATCGGAGTTCATGAGCCCTTTAGATTAATACGCATAAATGTCAAAATAGGAGAACAACGTGAACCCCCAATATCAGTACATACCTGTCTCATGGAAGCGCCTCTATTGTAGTCAGTCGTTGTGTCTCTTGATATCCCCAATGATTTCCATTTACAACGCACTGTCAAGGAGTAACATCCTCTTGTAGAACAAACTATTAGGCAACAAAATACAAAAATTCAAGTTAAAGTGGGATCTAACAACTCAGAGAACTTGGTGCCACCACTGGAAGGAAAGTATGTGAGATGAAGTTAGACGGAATACTTGAGGAAACCATAATCTTTGCATTCTAACTCTTTTTAACGTTGTCTTCTCCATGAAATCATCAAGAGTTTGTAGCAAGATGGCCCTGTTTGTCCTTCCGTTAGCCCCGTTTCTACTTTACGAGCAGAAGTTCATTTTTAAGAATTTATTTTTTTATTTATATCAAATGCAGGCGTTTTGAAAGTTTTCATTAGCTCTATAGCTGACTTCTGTTCTCATGGAGGGGAGGAACAGACAAGGTGGAAAACAGAAAAGTGGTTCAAAGATGTCAATAGACAGACAGACTAAAAGGCAGAGAAAAGGTAGAATGAGTACTGTGGAAGTAGTTGAATATGGCATACAGTATTGTTAAGGTGGTCTTAAATCAACTGCCAGTTAATAGGCTTTTCTGTCGTATGAGTATACGTTGTCGAGGGTGCACCAGGTGGAGATAAGTCTATCGCACACCCCATATTTAAGAACTTAGAGTTAAGTTGATTGTTTTGTCCATTTAATAAATTTCTGTACTTGTCAATTGTTCCTTATCGTTGGATTTAATTCTTTCAGGGGAGGGGGGGGGGAGGGTGGCAAGAGTGCAGTGTCGAGATTAATTGAATGGGACTTATCAGCAAGAAAGGTTGATATGGGACCTCAATGAATGAACTGGTGGAAGAAATTGACTATTAGAAGTTAGGGAGATGATTGAATGTGTGATATGAATGAAAGCGTGTTGACGTCCGGTCAGAAAGAGGACTGCAATCGGGTAGTGAGATATGAAGACGGAAGATATATCTGGAATAGTGTACAGAGAGGTTAATGAGCTGAAAGTGGTGATCTGCTAGCCTCGGCAATAAGTGAAGTTTCCTCTGGGAGCTAGATGGATGCATTGATATAGGCAGAGTGATGCAAATATTTCTGACTAATAATTTTCTGAGACCGGCTCGGTTTAAATGCAGTAATATTGCTCTCCAACTTGCAAATTGTGCATCAAGTATTTAGTATTATCTAATCGCCAAATGCCTAAACGTACTTATTCAAAACTCTCATTGAATATCCATGCTCTCATATCTACTACGTTTATTCTAGAGGATGTCCTGGAAGTATTAGCGAATTTAAGCAAAAATTACTACTGTTAGTCCCTCTCTTCTCAAGACTTACTCACACGAAGTGAGCTTTCTTCCACTCCTCCAGAAATGGTCAATCTGACTATCCAGAAACGTAGCACTGAAGGTGTTGGCTTTCGACTTGACTGGTCTAAAGCTTACCATCAAAATCACCTCTGTCTAAAACAAAATCAAGCATCTTCTTTATCAATGTTGATAAAACTTGATTTTCTTCTTTCTCTTCTGTTTTATTTATGGAAATCTGAAGGAGACATATATTAATAGTTTTGTGTATTAAATACTTCTACTTAATATCTTCAGTAGAAGGTTTTATCCGAAGGTCTTGAAAGTTAGCACAAACCTTTCGATTGATTTTCATTTTGCCTCCTATCATTAGACTGCCCATTATTACCTTATTAAGTATGCAAACTTAGTTAGTTTTCAATCGTATGAACAATATTTATTTGAAAAATTAATTCAGAAATCTCCCTGTCACTTTTACTATTATAAATAATGCCTAAAAGGGCGGATTCAAGCTTGCATAGGACTAATCAAATTCAAGAACGTTTTCATCTATAAAAACATAAGTTTTCACCTTGTTTTATAAAATTGCCATGCAAAGACTCAAGTTTAGATTGGAGAAAATCGATCTTTTACAGTTTTGTGCGCAACAATTTAAGCGGGCGTAACGAGAGTAAAGCTATTTCTATTTCACTCCATACTTTTGTCACCAAGTCGATCAGTGGATGAAAATGTGCTCATTTGGGACAGATAAATACTATTAAGTGTTTCTTAAAATCTAGACTTTCTCAAGCAAATGATTGTACTGCAAATTGAGATGAATGTGTGCTAAAAGCCTTTATGCCTGATAAAAGGCTGAAACATTTAAATAAAAGTATTATTACATATGCATATCCAACTTGAATGTATTCACCGATTTGGCCTCTTATGAAAACGTGCATTAAGTAGATAATTGCAAGTTAGTGCACTTGGTAAAAGCCCAACGCATTTGGAAGATTATAAGGAGAGATGTTCAAATCTCAAAATTTCCTGTTCAAAATAATGGTTTTTATAACATTTTATGCGCACATATATATTAATATCAAGTGGAAAAATAGCCTTTATAACTGAATAGTTTGTTTATGTCAAATGGCAGGCGTTTTGATGGTCATCATGAGC